CGCGCACCACTACCACGCCGGCGCGGAGCCCGCACGCGTTCGCGCACTCCCAAGTGCGGTGGCTATCCCACCAGTTCCCCCACAAGAGAGCGCCACCGCTTCAGGGCCTCCACGAAGGTCGGGATCACCTCCCTCAACGTCTCCCGGTCACAGTGCGCCGTGAGGATCGACGTGGACAGCACCACAAGACCACCCCGTAGGGACACGCCGATACCGCCCCCACACACCTCACGGCCGAGGAGGCTGCCCTCCAGCAGGACCTCATACAGCTTCGTGCGCACCGCGCGGTCCTCGGGGATCGCCGTCAGCACCGTCGAGTACACGTACAGACGCCTCGTCGGGGGGTCGAAGGTCACAAGAATGCTGTACTCCTCGTCATTGCACACGACGCAGGTGAGGTTGCGATCGAGGCTCAGGGCGACCCGCAGGTGTTCGGCCAGGCAGGCAAGGTTGTCGTGTGCGCTCTGCAGTGCCCGGGCGCTCGCGTCGCCGTGGCCCAGATCCCCCTGCGCCAGTTGTGGAGCAAGCGCCTCGCTTGACGGGCGCAACCCCTCCTCCGGCGGCGCTCTTCCAGCGTGCGGCTGCCCCTGGGGCATCCCGCTGGCCTCAGGCACCGTCGCGGGCGCCGAGGGGCGGGCCCCGGCACTCCTGCGCGCCGACGGCGCACTGCTACCGCACGGTTCCTCCGTGGCCGCGCCGTCAGTAGGCGGACGCTCGAGGGCAAAAGGGCCTTTATCCGGCCCCGCAGCCGCCAGGCCCGCGGGATCACAAAGTTGCAGCAGTCCATTGTTTTCGAGACCGAACTCCTCACCAAGCATGTCATCCGGCAGGGGACTGCCACGGCACGCCAGGACCCAATCCCCATTCACGTCGTACGCCTTCAGGTAGCGGCGTATTTTGGCCACACTCAGCTTGCGGAGGTCGCCCCGGATCACCATCTTAAACTTGCGGCCGTCCTGCGCCTCCACGAAAAAGGCCTGCTTTTCACCGCTCATTTTCCCTCCCCTCCCTCACGCTCAAGTTCCACCTTTTCTCTTTGTGTGTGTGTGTGTGTGTGTGTGTGTGTGTGTGTGTGTGTATCAAAGACGCTGCTGACGAAAGTTCAGCCTCCGAAGAAAGTCAAAAGTGGTGTGAGCCTTATTTCCATAGCATTCATACAGGAGAGCCCGCGCAAGGTTCTCCAAGAAACAGTGTTCGCACTACCCACAGTGGTTTACAGTCTTATTCCATAGAGTGGTGTGCATAACGGCCCCTGTCCAGCTGGCGGGGCTTGCAACATTTGCGAGTGCCTACCTTGCCCCATAGGACCGTTTAGCGCACTCACACTCTGGCGTTCCGCTCTTATATATTCGAATAAATGATTAAAATACTGTTTTTATCCAAACACATATAAAAAAAAATTTGACCTTAATTTCTTAACGCTCAATATATATCCCCATAACGAGTGGGTCACAAACAATAACATTCACTAATATCAAAGAAAATAATTTTAACCTGAAAGTAGAAACCATCTACAATATTTTTCTCATTTTTAGCCTTTGTTGTAAAGGGACAAACGCATATAAAAAACTACTATCAAAATGGTAGCAAAAATAATAATAAAATAACATCGCAATTATCATGAAATGGTATAGTTGTTTGGTGCTGTTGTCTTTATTATCACTAGTGGGAAAAAATAATTCGGAAGAATACTCAAAGAGTATTCTCGGAGGTCGCAGGAAACGCTATTTTAGCATAAAAATAAATAACCATATATAGATATAGATATAGATATATATACGAGGGTGACCCTATCCGGTATGGAGTAAATAATTCAAAATAATTTATTGATGACTTACAAGAATTTGTTCTACAGAAAGAAAGGAAGTAAATATCTTAACGCTTTTATAGCAAAATATTTTAGTAATTCGGGGAAGAAAATACAGCAAGCAAAGC